ATATATATATATATATATATATATATATATATATAAAACCGACGGTCTTAACAGAGCAGGGTCCATGTTTTCACAGTGATCGCCTTATGTGTGTAAGTAAGGAAGTAAACGTGTTTAAATACACGTTTCTGTGGCTCTTATGCTCCTTAAAAGTCAGTGTATTGGCATAATTCCATCGTAATTCCAAAATGTTCAGCATGACCAGCGTTTGGTGTGAGATTTACTGGGGAGGATGACCACATGTCAGTCAAAGGTCCTTTTTTGCCATAAAAAATTGGTGTTACAGTGACTTTGAGGTGACTTTTTTTTTATATTTTATGGCTCATGCATATATTGTAAAGGCCATAGTTGTGGCTGATTTAGGCATAAGACAGTCTTCTTTTAGTCTTCCAAATAAATGTGACATTAACCAACTGGAGAGGTTCAGCTAAATTCTTGATCTAAATTTGATGATTTTAAGACAGCTTCAACATCAAAAGGTTTGAGCTCACCAACGATAATGGTCAAAATATTAGTTTAAATATGCTGAAATTTGTTCAGCAATACTAAAAAGTGTTTAAAGCCTATATTATCCATAAAGATTATTGCTTTGTAGCTTAGCCAGTAGCCATGTCTAGGAGAAAGACAACATTAATCACTGAAAGACAGGGAGCCAAAAGTGTCATCTATGGAAGGAGAACATGAAGTTGTTGGCAGCAGTAACGGAGCCCATCCCTCCACCAGGACAGTGTCACAACTAGATAGAATGCCAGATCAGATGTAGCTACTATGAAAAGAAAAAACTGTAAGAAAATTTTAAAAGATAAAATAAAGCTAAATAAAGCAAAACTGGAGAGTAGTAGGTTATTAAAGGATGATGGAAAGTGTTCATTATACAGCCACAGTACAGCAGCCTAAACCTAAAGCAGCATAACTATAGATACAGCTCAGCGTAAGCACAGCAACTCTTAACTTTAAATTGTATGAAGAAGTAAAGTTTAAAGCCTGGCCTTAAAATTAAAAAGGATGAGTGTCACACTTTCTAAAGCTGGGAGCTCGTTTGACAGGAGAGGTGCTTGAAAACCATTACTATTAAGAGAGATCTGCCCTCCATTCTATCACACGGGGAATGATACTTTCTGGACATTTTTCCAGTCCATTGCGGGTATTTTTGGTTATAAATTGTAATACAATTAAGAAATATGTGCTTGTGCTTTTTTTCTAACAATTTAACTTCACAACAGTTCTTTTGTATTTAACTTTTAAAGCTGATTTCAACATCTGCAGTAGGGTAACTTACTAACTTCCAAAATTTTCAATGAGTTAATGTTTTTCTTAATTTATAAGGGAGCTTAAGGGGGGCAAACAGGTAACATTTCACACTTTTTGTTTGTTCATAGCACCATATTCAGTATCACTTAGCTTTTTTGGAAATCCAGCTTAACATAATTTATTGTATCAAGGATTTAAAATATGTTCTAATTCACATTAGTTAATTATACTATTCTTACAGTTTAGAGTTACTTCAGTTAAAATCAAAGGAAAGTACTGGAGTAACCTCATCATTTTGTGCATTTTGAAGCTAAGAGTTATGTAGCATTGCCCCTTCCCTAGCTACTGCTGCAGACTGCTTGACAGCTGGCTAAAATAAATCTCTTACTTTTCCTTTGCTCACAAGAAATAATGTTTTTTCTGCTGTATACACTTTAGTATATATTCTGTTATATTTTGGGACCATGTGAAACAGTAATTTGTTTTCACTTTATTGTTATCATTCAATCTTATACTGTCCCTCTGCAAAGCAGAGAAATGTCATTTAAAGATTAATAATATCAGTTATTGTTAAATATTGTTCTTTTATTCAAAGGGATTTTCCCCCCACTATATTTCTGCCAGCATATCTCTTTACCTTTCTCTTCTGTTATTTCCCTGAAGACTACCAAATGGTGCCCATCCCTTCCACAACACAACGTTGATTTTCGTTTTGTGGTGGCATTTTTCCCCAAGGTGTGTTTTTACTGCCATTTATCTGTTTGTTTATCTGCCAACAGGATCACACAAGAGAGCTAACCAACCGAAAGTCATGAAACTCAGCTGAGAGATAATCATAAACTCTCATTCAGCTAGCACTCTAATTGTTTTCAAATGGTATTGCTTTTCTTATTGACCCAGTGCTCACAAACTAATGAGTTTACAATATGCAATTTAAATACAACTGCAAATGTAGGCATAAGTTAGCATTACTTTATTACAAAAGGATGCACACCAGGATTAAAACTCTTAAACAAGTGGATCAGAATCTGCCAAAGCTTTCTGTTTAATAAATGGAATAAAAAGACAAAATGTTTGGGGTGGGTTAATCTGAAATTAAATGAAACTAAACCTTTTCTGTAGTGTGTCAAATGAGATAGAGGAAAAGCAGCCATATGATACACATAGGCTATAATCCTCGATGCAGCTGTCTAGGGTTCCATTCCTGACTCAGGCCATTTACTTTAGTTCTTTTCCCCCTCTACATTTTCTCTGTCCTACTTCCTGTTAAGCTGCTAATGAATAGTCCGCTAATGCCACAAACTCTTGAGAGAATAGGAAAAAAAAAATCTATTTAAAGGTTAGAAACATCACATATGACAGGATTTTTAACAGTATGTTTAATATTCTATTTTCTTCAAATATGAATTAAAATGTATTTCCTTACATTATTAGAATAGTCCTTTTAATTATATTCTTTGTAAGTTTCTACAAGCTTCTCACAATAGAGAATTTGGCTCATTCCTTCTGTAAGAACTATCATTTAAGTCTGGTTTATGGGTTGACTTGCTTTTAAGCTTTCCCCTTAAAATGATCTAATTTCTTAGGGATTTTTCCTTATCATGGATTACAGGGAAGTAATGTGTTTAAATGGTTTCCTTAAAAACCAAAATTTTACAAACCCATTAAAAAAAAATCATCTCTCATGTTGTTAAATGCATACCAATATTATTCTATGTAAACTTTTTAATTTCAGAGAGTGTGAAAAAATATTCAAAAAAGAATAATACTCTTATTATTGTGGAATGTAGATGATTGAAATGTGAGTGACTAAGTCCTTTTAGCTGCTTCCAAATTCAGTGGCGGTTCTACACCATATTTACAAGGTGGGCCAGGGTGGGTCCGGCAAGGTTTACCGGGGGCACAAAAAAACCCATAAAACAAAAAACAGGGCAATAAGTTATGATTTCAAATATATTAAGAGAGCTGCAGAACCCAAAAGCTACTAGTGGCTCTTCACTGAATGAAGCAAAATTTCAATGTTAACCACTGTAATAAAAATTTTATTTTGTTCCAGTAGAAAATGATGACAGTTTTACTTCCCTTAAAATCAAATATTCCTTTGCAATAGGAAAAACTTAGAAATAATTGCTAAATAAATATGTACCAGAAGATAAAATAAAATGACTCTTTGAAATATTAAAACCAAAAAATAAGTTCACAATTAAGGATTCTTTTTTTTTTTTTTTTTAACTAAAACTGGTTTTACTTTAGTTAAACACTTGTGATTTTATCTTAATACCAGTGAAGCTACCAGTTGAAATCATAACTCAAAACAGAATTTTATAGGAAATACAACGAAAAGGGTCCAAGGGACCTATCAATCACTTTGTCTGTCCATATCATTGCTAGTATTTCTTGTTTTGTTTTTTTGTATTATTAGTAGTGGGGGCGTAGGTACCAGGACCAGTTCTATAGGGGCCCTGGCCCCTGTTAGCCCCTGTCTTGAACCACTCATGCCCAAATTCCAAGGTCACTACAGCCACTCAATACAACTTAGATCTAAGTTTTTACACATAATATCTTTCGGGGGAACCAAACCTTGGTTCCTAGATGCAGACTTACCCTGTTGCACCACAAAGGGACTAATATCCTAACTGAACTATTGGACATAATTTCAAATGACCTAAAAAAGATGTCTTATTTAATATGATAGTGGAATAAAAAAACATGTTTTTCTTTTTTATATTTGAAATGCAAATCTTTGGTCTCATGTATTTATCAGAATGCATTTCAATTATTCCGCATCAACCACTCATTAAATGCACAGATTTTCTATCAGGCTGCACTCAGCGGGGTACTATGAACTCTAAGTTCATCCTCTGCCTGTCTATGAGTGAATGACATAATCGGAAACGTGTCCATCCATAATGAGACTTCCCCAAAGAGATGTGTTGTAGCTCTACTATTCCAACCACTTTATGAAAAAGGAAACTGCACTGCAGTTGAGCTTGGGCAATTTGACAACAGCTTGTACCGGGAGCATGCAGATGTCTCTGTTAAATGAAAGCTGTGTTTACAGACTCCTCTAAGGACAGATATATGTGATAGAAATCCACAGATTCACTTTACTCTCATTTTAATTAATTGTGGATTTTAAGCTCCCTGTCAGACTCCCATCTTCGACATATGGACATTTGGTTTTCAGGAGCAAACTTCTTCAAGGAGAGTCAAAAGTATTTTGGACAACCTGAAGCAATCAAGCTGGCTGCAATAAAAGAAAAGGAAGAGATGATGAGAATGGAATGAATCCAATTCCCAGTGGATTACAGGTGACAATGAGCTTTGCCAGGAGGGTTTTAAATGGGAAATACTAGTTGAATGTTGGTCCTATTACAGAGGAAGAAAAAAGTCCCATCCTCTGAAAGGGGGGAGCAACAATTAGAGGAAGCAATTGTTGTTATTCTAATTATTAATTAAACACTAAGACAAAACTCATCTGGGATGTGAAAATTGAGGCGTTTGTAACATATAGGAATAACCATAAGGACACAGTTGTCTGACATGTTTAATTAATAATTTGACATTAATTTGACAAAACATGATTATGAAAAAAAAACTTTTATTCTTCAGAGGATCAATATCCTTTTCATTAGTAGCGGAAGTTTTAGTATAAATAAACACACATATGACAAAACTAGTAACATTTTAGAAGTAGAATTGAAAAATAAAAAGAATACCTGAATAAATCTCCAGTGTTGCTTGCTGCTGGTTTGCCCCCTCAGTAAATCCATGATATGGAGAGTCTTTCATCCCCTGACAGCCGCAGCAATCTGAGTCCAAAGCGATAGTTTGGACTTCTTGTCTCCCCAAAGCAGTCCTCTCTACTCGTCTCTCGCTTCAAGCAGAAATATTGGCGTGCATTATTTCCATCTTCAACAGAATGTGCCTTTAGAGTTGAGACACTCGCTGTTACAATGCGCTCTTCATGTCTGTTGCTCCATGTTCTCCTTTACGCAGACAGTCCAGCTCGCATCGCCCGGAGGAAGGCGGGGACCCAAAAAATAACAACAAATCCGCTGTTACACCTGCGGTGGCTTTAGAAAAAGTCCTCTCGGTTTGATTTTCTTCTTTTTCACATTTTAATGTAAGAGGATTTTTATTGCAATTTAGAAGAAAGCTTCGCAGTGTGACTTGCATCGGTTTCCGATCCGAGAGTGCCGCTCTGGCAGCAGGACGCAGCGGATCTGCGCGCGCGTGCGGCAGCAGGCGGCACAGCAGCACGCGGGACAACAGAGGATCCACACCAGGGATCATACCACTTTTATAAGGGGCCACACCCAGAAACACCAGATAAGTGCTTTCCTTAATTAGAATACCCAATTAAAAAGTAATGGAACACATTTTGTATAAGCTGAGCTTTTTTAGTTGTTGCTGCTGTTTTTGTTTTTTCTTGAGACATTGAAAAAAATGTTAGATTAAAAATAAGGAGTGCAACCTCATAAGTTATTTAATCTGTTTAAGTGAAATAAATTGTATAGAATTAGTTAATTCATTTTAACTCTTAAAACATGGTGGCAGTAGTATCATCCATTATCAGAGCTAATGAAGCTCTATGTTGAAAAGCAAATTTGGCAAACAGGTTATTTATAATTTCTACTTTAGTAATAAGTTACTTGCCACTGAATTACATAAAGTACATAAAGTAAAACTTAGGATTGCAACCTATAAGTTATTCAATCTATTTAAGTTAAATAAATTGTACAGGATTAGTTAAGTCATTTTAACTCTTTAAACATGGCGGTGGTAGTATCATCCATTATCAGAGCTAAAGCAGAGTAGTGTTGAAAGGCAAATTTGGCAAACAGGTTAATAATAAATTTTACTTTAGTAATAAGTTAGTTGCAAATGAATTGCTTAAAGTAATTTGCACTGCTCAGTGCTACTTGGTTGCTCTCACGTATTACTTCAGTTTTACTCAAAATTATATAGCATTGCAGCATACTTCTAAAACCCCCAAATTCCATCTTTATCTCTAGAGATATTAAGAGCCAGATAACCCTCTCATATTTAGCAACATTTAGGGAGGGATTTTTTCCTGACAGGAATCATCTTTAATAAAGCTAGTTGATCTTAAAGACCAAACACTTTAACAACTACTGTCTGAAGCTAAACTAACAAAAATTTAACTTAAAGGTATTGTGGAGGATTTTTTTAACGGATTTTTGGAGGATTTAAAAAAAAAAAGTGCAAGAACATGCATGAACCCATTTCTCCTCGCTCTGTTTAAAATGTGCTGTTCTCATTGCTCATACAAGCTTAGTGTGTCCACATACAGTGGGGACTATATAGTGGACTTCATAGAAAACTCAGTTAACTGACCATTCGGACAGATGATCACTGCTTTTTGCTTCCTGTTGGTAACGTAACTCCTCCTCCACCACGCAGTGCCTGCGCCATCTTTGTTATTAGTCGCCGCTGTCGGGTAGCAACAGCCTATGTGAGACAGTGGGCCGCTGTGACAGCAAATCCCATAATGCTTTTCTAGGAGAGCTTTCCACACAAAGCATTCTGGAATTTATATCTGCCTCTTCTGAAGCCTTTCTTTTCTTCTCATACACTTCGTAAACACTTTTTCTCTTACGACCCTAGGGCATTTTCAAAGAACCACGGTCAGAAAGGTGAGCTTCAATGACTGTCTGAAACCGTAGCTCACCACACATGTGCCCCTGAAAGTGCGCAGAAAAAGATAGCCAGCAGAGCTAGCAAGTAGGGCGGCCTTACATAAACATATCACCAGAATAATTGATATTTAGGAGGACTACTTATTTAGATGATCTACCCGGAAATTGAAGATTGTCTTCTATACCTTTAAAGGGAATTAACCTTTGAACTGTATAAACGAACAAACTTTTATCCGGTGTTGTAATATGTCAAACCAAACTTTAAATCTAATTATAACAACCTGAAAAAGTCAAATTTATTTATAATAAAAGAATCATGACCAGCAGTAAGCATGATGGGAGATTGGATACTTTAAGCCCACTCCCTGGCCCAGGAATATATATTATAGATTGAAGATATATAAAAATACATGTTTAGAATAAACATATGTTTTCATTTTGCTAGTGTTCAGGACTAAACATTTGAATAAACTCAGAACTTAAGCATAGTCTCAATAGATTTTAAACTTGCTCCAAATATACCCATAAATGTTTCAATGCAGATGGGAAAATGTGGCAAATTAAATCCTGTAAAATTTAATAGGACGATTTTGGTGCTGTTTTGTTAACAGGTGAATGAGAAAAGACTTACCGTAGTACATTCATAATTAAGATGCTTTTTTAACACTGTCATTCTGGGCCACAAGTGTTAGTGTTATACATGAGATATTAAATCATTAAATGTGTGCCTTGGGAAGTTGGTTATTTCTTTGTGTTGTTAGAAATAGCATTAATAGCTTTGTCAGCACTTTGCACTGAATGCATACTAAAGATTCATTACAGAAAACCAAGCTTTCTTGGATAACGTCTTTGTCAGTTGATCATGCAAATGTTTCTCATCATCACTAGCTGTAAAACAACCCCAGACAGACTGCAAGCTCATTAAATTTAAACAGTCAGAACTTTTTATATGCCTCCGGCTCATAATCCACTCATAATGTGAAGTAGGATTCAAGGGAATCTGTTTGTGTTTGAGCCAGTGGTAGAGGGATAATTACAGAAGGAATTAATGAATGCCCTGCTAAGCTTTAGAAATTTGAAAAGGAAAAAGTAATATTTGGATTAGCTCACTGAATGAACATTTAGTACTTCTAAATCTTCTCACGCAGACCCAGCTAATAATGGCACATCAAAGATCTGCAGAACATTTAGGAGTGTGTAGTCACCTTAATCATTAATATCTCGCCTACATATTTAATTAATTTATGTTTGAGTTAGCTTGGGAGTTCTTTACAAGGTTTTTTCGTAAATATTATTTTGAAAAGAAAATTTTACTAAATGCTACACCCTGATCTTGATTATTTTTTCTGCCTTCTACAGGGAAATAGAGTCTTACCAGGCAAGCTCTATGTTATCTGATATCATTTGGAGTGTTTTATGCGAAAAAGCTAATTATAATGTTTTATTGACGTTATTTTAGATGCAATGCTGTTCACTATAAGATACAAAAAAAGGAATGGTGAGTGCAGATTGCCATTTTATGACTTTTTTTTAATCGTTCTGCATTTCTTCGAATGTAGTTATGCAGTTTGGTGTACAAAACCAACACTGCACCAATCAACAACTACAGACAAGTGTGATTTGATTTTAACAATCCAAAAGCATTGAAAGTCTTCCTTTATTATAAGTCAAGTTTTAAGTCTCTAATGATTTTATAATTAAATACTTTCAACCAGGCCTTCTATACTATCGCACTGCATTGCTGTAGATAGGGCCATCAAATCTGGTATGTGCTGTAATTAGGCCTAATAAAAGAAAGGTACATTTAACAATTATCTTAAAATCTCTTAACATCTATCAACAATTAAAAAGAAACAGTTATGAATGGCTTTATCTTATCAATTACTTTAAAAAATGATCAAGCTTAATTTTTATCTTATGAGTGGTCATTCAAAACGGTCAAATAAATACCCTGTGCAGTAACCGTGTATAATAATCCTGCTTTAAAAAAAAAAAAAAAATACTTCAGCTGTCATATATTTATTTAGACACACGATATATGTACTGTATATACTCCCATGCATCTTTTCTTCCTTTAGCACCTTCTGTAATGAACTCAGAATGTTAGACCCAGCAGTCAAGGCGAGACAGGCAGTGGGAAAGTTCAAAGCATTTATTTAAACAAACAGGAATGCAGAGCTGCTCATCAGCTGTGGCCAAATCTCTGCACGGATAGGAAAAACAGGTCGGTGACTGGATTGTCGGGCTGATCACGATGAGGAGCAAAGTCACTGACCTGATTCAAAGTTTAGTCTGATCCCGGAGGAAAGAGTAGAATCCAAACGGGAGGTTAACCCCCAACTTGCGGCGGGCACTGCCCCCAGAGTTCCTAGAGAGAGAAGGCAGAGCAGGTGCCAGCCGATGCCAAGCAGACCTGCAGAGGATAGGTCCAAGTTCAGAAGCTAGTAGAATCCAGGAATCAGTCAAAAACAGATCAGACTAACAGAGCAGACAGGGGCAAAGCAAAACTCGGGATCCACAGGGCAGAAACTGGTCACAATCAGGAAAACTGAACAAGATTCAGAACTCTAGAGTTAATCTCACCAAACTGCTCGAATAACCCGGCACTGATGGAAGGCAAGCAAACAACATAAATAGCAGAGGAACCAGGTGGAAATGATTGGTGCTAATCAGCTGCTGGACTAATTAGACAGGTGAGCAGGAGCAAAGGAAAAGACCGAACCATCAGCGCCAGGAACATGACACCTTCTTCTTCTTTTTTACTATTTGAGCTGATGTAACGATTTCTCCATTGTGAAATCAATAAAGTCAATCAATCAATCAAAGAAAATTATAGCTAACATCAACACATTGTTATAAATCATCTCTGGTTAATAATCAAATGCATATTTTTAGAGGAAATTATATGAAAATCACTTGTTACATCTGTTTTATTTCCATAATAGGTTCCTTTCACTCTTCCTAATATTTGAAAAGTAATTATTAGTTAAAATTAAATCCAGGAATGGGATTCTGAGTGAAGTCTGATGTTTTTGTTTTAGGTTCAGAACAGTGAATTAAGTCTAAAAAAAACAGTTTTTCTAGTCATGCTATTTATAACGCAACAGTCTGACACCTTAGAAATTAGAAATGAAGCAGAAATGTGATGATATTAAGCTGTTTGCTTTATTGAACAAACATTTTTTGCACATTGTTTAATTTGTGCTTTAGAATGAGGGAAAAGCAGATTTTGCGAGCAACGTATCTGCGTCTTATGACATTATTTCTGGAAAGACAAGAGCCTCAATGTGAACTGACAGACTGAGGTCAGCACCGGTTGCCCTTATTCGCTCTGTAATGTCAATCAGACTATCCCCCAGCAGTCACTATTTCTGAGCAATGAACAGAATAATATGATAAATCTGTTGTCACTACTCTTGAAACTGCTTTGTTTGTCTTAAAATGGATTTTTCTTCACCTGCTGTCAGGGAAATCACTCTACTTTATCAGCGCATGTTTTGATGGTGCAGAATAGCCCAGCCTTTCATATATTTGTTCCAGATATAATGATTTAGCCTTTA